AGACACGACAAAACACCAAACAAATGACACCACAAAGCACCACTAAATATATATATAAGCACATCCACAATTGAACAGTGCACACCAATACTACCTACAGCACACATACAGGAGGAATTAAGTGCACTTACACATTGCAGTGGATGAAAAATGAAAGAGAAAAAATTACATGTCAGTTTATTCAAGTAACAAAATAGCAAAAAATTCATTATATCAAATTCTCATAAAATCAATAAACACAACACAAGCTCTATACATTGACTCTGCCTACCTATTAGCAAAGTAATGCTTGGTTTCTGCAAGCAGAAAGAAGCAAGCTAAATAATATCTGAAAAAGAATGCTTAAAAATATTTCAATTTTCAGGCAAAAAATTGGCTTTAAATAGGCAGCATTTGCATTACTCTTTAGAGCTGCACATTCTCCAGCAAAAGTATCAAAACTAAATGCTTATATAAAACTCAAAATATATATTTTTTTTGCATAATTCAAATAACAGTATACTTATTAAAAAGGTAATGGATGCAAATTGTTCATCAATATATAAACATAAATATATTCTTTTTTTTTAAACTTTAGCTTAACTATTAAACAAATTTTAGTAATTTATTCATTTTTCTTTTTTTTATATAAAATAATGCTAAATAGAATTTTAGATTTTGTAAACAAACACAGAAAAAAGTGTAACATAAAAAAATAATTTTTACATCTATTCACTATTAGTTTGATGTTCTTATTAAATATTAGTATGATAGCAATATAAAGTTTGAGAAATAGCAATTAAATAAAAGAAATCTATTAATTAATTCATTCATCAAAAAAAAAAACTTTACAGGAAAAATAATATGTAGCAATGAATTTCTTTAAAAGACAACAATTAGTAATACAAAACAATTTAAAATAACAGATTAAAGTTTGATTTAGAATTTAAATGTAGAAATAAAATTATAAAATTTCACATTGTTTATTTGAACCAAGTTTTATTCACTTTTACACTACAGCCTTCTTTATCATAATTAGTTTGATGCAAAAAAGTAGAATCATTATTTTTTCCCCTTTTCATTGCTAAGCTAAAATTAAGAGTTAAATGCTTTCATAAAAAAGTCTCTTTTTTTATTAAATGTTAAATAATTTTATTCACTTGATTTTTTAAAAATGATCAATGATTTAACTCAGAATACTATTTAATACATAAATATATAATCCACAGATTGCAATACTTTTTCGCCTAATGCACAAAATTTTACTCAGTGAAATGAAGGTTATAATCAGAGAATTAGTAGAGGCAGCAAGTGACTAAATGTAGTTTAATTATTAATAATTATATAAATTATTTTCTTTAAATTATACATTTGCATCAATTGTATGCAAATTGATTATTGGTAACTGTTACAGCGTAAGTAATATTGAAACATCAATTTAAATAATTAATTAAAACATATTAAAGAAAGAAAGAGAAAAAAATAAAGAAATTTTTCAGTCTTAAAAAATGTAATAACTTATAATAAATATCACTTATCTTTTAAATAAATGTAAAAGAAATTTACTAAATGATAAGAAAATGAAATTTATAAATTCTCACATAAAGATCCTATAAAGAAATGATAAAGAAAAATCTAAATACTTAGTTTTTAACTTTAAATGCCAGTTTGACTTATTAATATGACTAAAATAAAAGGTTAAAAGTAAGCGGGGGGGGGGGGAGAAGACTTGAAAATACTTTCGATACATACCATTTTTTAATTTTGAGATTAGGCATTTTAAATGAATAAAGGAATTAAACGACAAAGTGATTATAAAGTTTATACACATTTATTGTATGTCATTAATAGTTTCATTCTTTATAATCTGAATGAATACTAACCAGGGTTTGCCCACCTTAAAAAAAACCACTAGGAATGCTAAGTGTTTTGTTTTTTTAAATGTTTTTATTAAAACTAATTAATGCACATTTAATTTCATATAATTTGTTGTGTAGCATAAATTTGCCAGATAGAGTTTCATGTTTTACGTGATTAAGTTTTTAATATTTGTGAAGTAAAAGAAACACTATCTATAATTTGATATTACTATTGAAAACTTAAAGCGGGTTTCTTCAAAAAGTAATATTTTAATGAAATTAAATCACATAGAAAGTTAAATAATATAGTCTGTAAAGATCAATTTTTCAAATGCAGTTGCAGGCTTTATATGATTAATAAACAGGTTTTTAATAAATAAAAACAGTTGATGATATTTTTTTACCCATTTTAGCACTAAACAAGTTTTTTCAAGGAAATATCTTTAATAAAAAAATATTAACACACATTTAACTTTAAATAATTTAATATAAAGGCATAAGTTTTAAAAATGCAGTTGCATTGTTATACATGTATTACAATAAACAAATTTGAAGAGTAAACAAATTTTTACAGACATTAAGAGAAGCTGAAATCTTATGACTTTTTAGCATAATTGCTCTTTTTTCTTGCTTAAGCAAATTTTATCAAACCAAGATCAGACGTATCTAATGAGGTAATAAAAATTGATGGAGATTCAAAATGTCAATGTGCACTGTAAAATTGAAAGAATCAAAGCTCATTTGCTAAAATGTGCAGCTAGAAAAGCTGAACAAAGAGAAAATGATAAACCAAACCAATTTGAAATTGCTTTAATGGAAGATTTTTTTAACAAGTAATGAAATTTCTTCAGTCACCAGCTCAATACCAAGCACTTCTTCTTGCAACACCTATTAAAGAGATATTTCGAATTTTCTTTGCTAAACAACTGCTGAACATAAGAGAGGATTAGACAAAGCTGCATCAACTTTTTTATGCAGGAAATATACTTTTCAATGTTGTTGCACTAGATTATTTTAAGCAAATGATAGAAAAATTAAGGCCTGGCTAAAAATATAAGAGGAAATCTTTTATAGAATGAACCATTTCTACCATTCCCATTTTTGAACCATTTCTACAACTTATAGAAATGGTTCAAAGCTATAGTCCCCAACATTTGACGGTTGGTCTAGTGTGAAAAATGATCCTATTCAATCAATTGCCATTCATACATGAACCTGCAGCCATCTTTTGAAAGTATATGATGTAGACTCAGTAAAGAAGATATCTCAATAATGTGATTCAGTTGTGGAAGCTGCTATTAAAGAATGTCAAAAGAAATTATACAGCACAGTATTTGTTATAGTAACCAATAATGAAAATAAAATGGGGAAGATGTGGGAAATTTTAAAAGAAACACATCCAAAACTTATAACTTATGGATGTTCTGTCCATCTTTTAAATTTGGTTGAAAAAGAAGTATGTCCTAATACTGTCATTGGACACATCATGGAAGTTAACAAATATTTTAGAAATGTGCATCAAGCATATGGATGGGCAAATGAAAAAAACTGTTTAATGCCCCTATTACCAAATGATATTAAGTGGAGTTCATATTGTGAGATTGCTCCTGAACATCAAAATGAATTCAATAAAAATATATCAAAAATATTAAATAATTTTTGGCTTTACCAAAAGGCTATTAATTTGGAAAAAGAGTTATAAATTTTTTCTGAAGCTTTAAATAAGCTTCAATCAGAAAAAACTTCAATTTCAGAAGCTGCTGAAATATGGATTAACTTCCTGTTGTGCAATGAATAAGAATCCCATAATCAACATTTTGTAAAAAGATTCCATCAGGCTATTCAGCCACCTCATTTATTAGTGTACTTCATAAATCGCAAAACGAGAGGACAACTTTCAAATGATGAACAAGAGCAATTAGCAGATGACTGGGTTTCTAAGCATCTTCCAGAATTTCTGCCAGGTGTTATGGCATTCAAAATTTCCGATCCTGAATACTGTGCAAAATCAATGATGCATGACACTGTTATTCAAGTTTTCATCACAAAAACGGTGTAAAATTATGGCAAAAAAGTGAACAAAATTCCAAAATTCCCCTACCATATTAAGCCAAAATGATTTATATAAAAATGTAGTCCTTTTTTCTAAGGTTAAGTATTTGAAAAAATGGGTAGAGTAACTGATACTCTTTATAATTGTACGTAATTTTAATTTCACTTTCTATTAATCCTATTATAAAACCAAGGAAGACCATTAAATATTTATTTCAGTTTTATTTTATTAAAGTTAGAAGTCTGATTAAATTTTAGTTTGTACTGATAATAAATATTTACTAATTATAAATTTATAATAGGCAATATATAAACATAAATGCTTACTAAATTTAGTAAATAGATAAGGGTGAAAACAAAAAGATCAACAAACTTGTTTCTTTTATATTACTGCTGCATTTATATTTCAAAATATTTTAAATATAGAATAACTAACTGAGCTTTGTTTCAGGAAATACATTTCTAATTGTGCGAGTATTTTTCAGTTTGTGACTAACTGGACAAGTACATTTTGCATTTGTCCTTTCTTTTGTTTTCATAAAGTAAATATTCTGTCAAATTACATATGATTTAAGTTAACAGGTATATCAAGAAAACAGAAATAATATTTATAATGCCCTGGTATAACAATAGCAAGAGTTCTTAGATGAGAGACAGATGAGTTGCATAAGTATATTCAATTAATTATGAAGAGTGTTACCATAAATGAACCTTTTAAAATTCATCAAAAAACAACTTTTCTCAATACATTCTATAATGATGTAGCTATTTTTCCAGTAGGATTCATTTGAAAAATGATTACTCTCATTTACATTATATTGGCAGTTGCTTTATATTCAAAAATAAAAATGTGCGCTAACACTTAAATTTATCAGCAAATATTGGCTGATTTCATCATTGCTTTTTAGTAAAATAATTTTAAATTTAAAAGAAAAAAATTAAATACATAAACATACAAGCTCTAGCAATTCTAAGGTTTGAAAATTACACAACTAAACTATATTTTTTAACATGCACCATACTGTTGAATGAAATGTAAATGTTTAAAAGCTATTTCTAATATCCTACAATCTATAGCTACATCAGGCTTAGAATTTAGTTTATAATCACCTTCTTCCTTACCTTCCCCTTCAAAGGTCTCCTCACCCTCAGACATTAATTCATCATCAGAACATATATTCAGGACATTTACTAACATTTCTGTCACTAAAAAAAAAAAAACTAAATTATTCAACTGGCATTTTTATTATTGTATTAAACTGACTGAATAAAGATTTATCTTTAACTGCCAGAAACAAATTATTTCATAAAATGTTTTAAGAACAGAAAGGTGGGCAAAGAAATGTTTTTTTAATTATTTAATTTTTAGTTAATAAATACACTATATATTTGACTTATGGGGCACCAAAATAGTGGGTATTTTGTCATCTAGCTTGACAACAAATACTGTTACTAGTCTGAAAGCATACACTCTCTATTTTTAATAGCAATCATTATAACAGAAAGAAATTAACAAGAATTTTTTTTTAAAAATGATATTGTCATATCGTATTTTGCATCGAACCATTATTTTATGCAAATTATGATACAAATATCTAAACATGAAATAAAAATTTTTAAATCATCAATATGAATCGTAGTAAGGAGCGATCCTACGCTTTAAAAATATTTTTAAAGTACTAAAATATGCTACAATTAGTTACCAGTTTGAATATATTTTACTAAGGTAATGTGGGGAAAAAAACTTGGAAAACTGTGGAAAGAACGCAGTTATTATACACTGGTTATTATGAATTAAGAAAAATTTCAAAAAAGCAACAAGTTCCACAAAAATATGTTAATCCCAATGAAATTTTAATATGTTGTCAAATAAGAGCTGCCAAGTAAAATTGCAACCTGTAAATTAGCATCTGCAATGAGCATAAAATTGTATGTTTGATTGCAAGTCTGCAAATTTTGCTGTGTTTCTGCATTAGAAATTTAAGATAGCCAATTTGTAACAATGACTGCCAGGCATTTGTTCGAAGAATGGCGATGGAGATCTATTGGAAAATGAGAGAGGACAAAAGCAGATAAAAGAGGTCAGGTGGAGTAATGTAACTCCTTCCGTGGTTCATCGATTTTGGCAATAGTTTTTAACCACAGGTAAGGTATTCGGAAGGTTAAGCCAAGGAGGGCCAAATGCTTATGATGAGCATCGATGACCAATATTTATCGTTATGTGCACAAAGAAATAGAACAACTCCAAGTCAGCTCAGATCCTCTCTTAGTACAGCCACCTGAAGAATGGTGTCAATGTCTACCTTGCATAGGTAGCTTTAAGAAATCTGGTTTGTTTGCTAGACGATCAGCCATTGATAGAAAAGAACCTTTGAGGTGGATGCAGCAACATATCCACTAAACGACTGACTAGTGGAGGGCTGTTCTCTTTACAGATGAATGCAGGTTTAGTCCTCAAAGCGATCTGATATCCATCAAACATCCGTGAAAGAGATGCATGCCAAGGAGGTAGAATCTGCGTGTGGGGCAGTATATCTTTGGGTGGATGCACAGAACTGCATGTCTTCCATGTTAAACTGTGAATGCTCACGTATATATAGACAACATTCTTGATGTTTTTGTGAGCCCATATACTGCTGCAGTAGGTGATGAATTCATGTCACAGCAACCAATTCAGCACATGGAGTAGCCAGCTTGATCACCGGACTTTAATCCTACCAAGCACGTTTGGGATGCTTTAAGAAGACGTGTAACTGCTCTAAGTCTTTCTCCTCAGACTCTTGCAATTGCTTTTCAAGAACACTTTCTTACGCTTCCAACGGAACTGGCAGACCATATAATTGAAAGCATCACACTGTATATGCTCTATTGCTACTAACGATAATTATACTCCATATTGAAGGTACTTTTTCTATTCCAAATTGACACCTCTGATTTATTCATTTCATACATATACTAATTTCTGTAATACCACAATAGTCAAGTAAATACTTTTTATATTATTTTATACATTATGTGCACTATAATTTGAACCAGTTTCATTAAACTGATTATTTCCTTCATTGAAGTTTTTTTAGATTTTTTCTTAATTTATGATAAACAGTGTAAAAATATAGCTCTTTGACTAATTAACCATTAATCTTGAATATTAACAAGTAGACATTTCATAAATGTGCACAGTTTAAGCAAAAAGAAAGTGGTACCTATTTGAAACAATAAAAATCATTTACCTTTCTCCCCAACAAACGGTAGAGACCAAGTGAAAACGTCCATAAAATTTGGCAACCAATAAGGATGTGGAGAGCAATTGAACTGTCTAATATTCATAACGTTGTTTTCATATTTCAAAACAGCAGCTATTATACAAAATATACATCAAAAGAGCTATTTTTTAAAAAAATTTTATGCTTTATCAAACAAAAACTGATTAATGATTATATAAAGAACAGAATAAAGTCTGAAACATTAAAACTTAAACTCATTAAATGGTTTAAGAAATTAGTCTTGATCATTACATTTTAATTAACTCTCTCCTTTAAAAAAAAAAAAAAAAACTATATCAGATTGTTTTATATATATATATTACTCAGCATTATATTAGAACACATACGAACGTAAAAACTTTAAAACAAAATTTTAATAACCGTTTAATATGAGACAAAGGACAATGAAGTGCATTACTAAGTGACAAAAATAGGAGGGGTCCAAAAAATTTGCAATAAAAATGTCAGTTTTCTACCAGTATTATTAATTGTTTTGACATAAAAAAGTGAATAACAAGCAGATCTTGCTTTTTCCAACAATTCCAAACAGAGAAACATCTTAAAGGATCGCTTAAAAAAATAACTAAGTTTGGTTTTATAAAAAATTCATCAGGTATAACTTCTCCGTACATTTTATGGAAAAAAACTCAAAGTTTGAAATGACTGAAATTAAAGCTGGTTAATTTTTATGAATTGAACGTTTTGTTAATTTGGAAAGCTTCATGATGTCATCTATGGCATTGATTTCAATTAAACTAAATTTCTCTGATAATATTTGGAAGAAAAAAAAAGACATCTTTTACATTAATGCTGATAAAAAGGGACTTTTAGGACATCTCAGATACAAAATACTTTTAGGGACCAACTTAAAAAATAGAAAACAATGACTAAAAAGGGGTTGTACGAGGTAAGCCAATTAATCTTAATTCAAGTCTAGTAAAGAAAACAGAGAATAAGAATAAGCAAATCAATAATACTTATAAGAGATAAGTTACAAGCAATAAATAATTTGTAGATAATTAAAATGACTAAAATGTAAATAAAATAATTTGTTGAGGCTAGGATTATACCAATTTGCAGAACAAAATTATCCATTAAACATTTAGATCTCTTAAAAGCAGTATTCAGGGGTCAGTCCAGGTTTTTCAGAGAGGAACCTATTTTTTGAAAATTTAGACTTAATTTGTGAAAATAAAATATATTAAAAAATCAATACAAAAATAAGGTAAAAATATGGATTTATTGTTTCGTGCAGGATACAAAAATAAAATTTTTAAAAAAAGTATTTTGTGAAATTTTTCCTAAAGTTGAATTTGTGAAGGTATCGCTAAACGGTAGTAAATTTGGCCTGGGCAGACCCCTGGTATTAAAATAAGATACTTTTTTACCTTTATTATTATAAACATCTAAATAATTAGGAGCAGAAAATATAGTAATTAGAGATGGGAAACCAGTTGTCTGACTTTTCCTGTACATTCGATACCTAAAATATGGAATTACATTTAATGTATCATCCAATTCATTCAATGTGAAAGCAAATGAAAAACTATGAACAATAAATTTTTACCCAGCATCTTGTGCTTCGTGAGCTCTAATGATTGATAGCAAGTTATTTTGTTGTAGAAACTCGCAACAAGCAGCATAACTGGAAGAAAAAAAATTAACACTTCAAAATAGATAACAGTTCTTTCTTGATCTCGATCCATGTTTTATAATTTAGAGCAGTATTTGTGAGACAAAATATTTCTGCAAAGATATGTATGCGTAAAACAAAAGTTATTGTGAAATATTAAAAATTCTTATGAATATTTCCCAATTAAGCAAAAAAATCTATTTTAGAAGTCACTAAATTTTACATTTAATATCTAAATACTTAAAAACAAGTGTGTACAGTAATTTAATAAAATACGGAAAGTAATAATACTTTTATAAAATGAAACTTTGTGAGAAGCCATTTTTACGAAATTTAATTTTGCAACAGGGTGCGTAGCCAAACTTTTCAAGAAAAAATTAGCACCTTTTAAGCACTCAAAAAATATTTCTAATATTAGACGTGCGCACTTATAAGAAAATTTTCTTCCTGTTGTTGAAAGTTCTTCATAGATACCATTAACAAAATGCAAAATAATTTTCAAAGATTTTACATGATCATGATAATTTAACTAATAGTAATATTAGCCACAATAAATCAACTTATACAAAATTTTAAATATATTCAATATTGAGTGGTTCATTCTATTTTTTAAATTAATAACTACTTTATTTAATTATGTAAAAAAAAATTCAAAATTATAAATTATTTAAGTACTATTTAAAAAGGTTACTGAGTGTATTTTTTAGATATAAATTAAAGTTCTAAAATAAATCATATTCAACAAAACTAACTAGATTAATGTTAATGATCACACCAAATTTTTAAAGATATGTAAAGAATTAAGCAAACTAAGAAAACATTAATAAATTGATATTACAAATATAAATTAGCGAATGACTCCTAATAAGTTTTTATTAAAATCTGTTACTTGGTTTGCACCCTAAAAATGAGCACCCTCAAGAACTTTTAAAAAATGCTATGCACCCTTTTTCTGCATGAATTGGCACTTGCATTCATTAAAATATAAATATATTGTAAGAAAATTAAACAGAAGTATATTTTAATAAAAAGTAAGGAAAACATTTGGTAAATATGGGTTTAGGTTTATAGTGATACGAAAGCAATATTTTACCTGTAGAAATATGAGCAACCTCGGACACTATTGTGAGTAAAATGTTCAGTCGTTTTCTCATTTCCAAAATCTTCTAAAGGATCTGACCAAAGAAGATCACACATTGGACCAAAGGCAGGTGGCTCTTTAAATCGATCCAACTGATTATAAAAATAAATATACCAGAAAAATTTTAGCAACTAAAGTCATTTACTATTCAAGTAATTATGAAGATAGAGAAAGGAAGAAAAACAGTTTAGGTAGGACACATCAAGAAGAATAAAGAAAGCAAATACACACTATAAATTAAAATGCAGCAAGCAAATAATTTTAACTAAACGGGGCTCTTACTGTTTTCTCAAAGCAAGAATTAAAAATTCCTGGAGACTTTTCTTGAAAAAATTAAGGATCTTAAAAATTAGTACAGTTGTTTATCATCAAATATACATATACCCACAGTGACAATGCCAATTATTTACCCTTTCTAAAAAATAATAAAATCACTAATGTGACTACTAATATAATTGCATTTATTACAGAACTATTAACTTTTTCGTACAATTAAATTTTTTTAAAAATGTTAATGCTTTTTAAAAACTTACAGTTACTTATTACACACTAAAATATCATACACATTTATTTAATTCTTCAGGTTTTCTAGAAATAGTATCTGTTACGGACTCAAATAAATAAAAAAATTCTGTTACTTCTTTTTTATAAACACATGCACAAGAATTGAATTTCTTGAACTCTGTTGATGTTAAAGGTCAATGTGGGTTTTCGGCTTAGGTACCTCAGAACTATCCAAAAAATAATTTTAAAAAAATAAATAAAAAATGGCATTATCTTTTACAGTATCCTACTCCCTCCAACTGCCTCTCTAAATGATCTACCAATGATGAAAAGCCTCATTCTATGCGAAAGAAAGACTGACTTCTTGTTTTAAATACTTTTGAAATAAAAAAATTGCTACAATCATCTAGTGATACTTCAAACCAAGAACTTTTAGAAACTTTGACCCAAAATTAAGAACAAAAAAAGCATTTTTTAAAAGACTTTTAAAATAAAGCAGAATTTTTAAACAAAAGTTCACAATAACAATTCAAAAAGCTGTTGAGTACAACAGTTTGTTAATTAGAAACTGCTTAATAGGATTAATGACGTATACATGAAACACATCATTACTTGAACACATCCAAATATTAATACTTCACTTTGAGAAATTTTATAAGATACAAAAACTTAGAATTGTTTCAAAAAATTAATTTAAATGACATAAATCTTCACAAAAGGAATTTATTAATTTTTGACATACTTTTTTAATATCATCTAAAGTATGTACTTCTGGAGATAGGCCACCATGAACACATAAAAACTGCTGATTCATTAATGCGGCTAAAGGTAAACAATCAAATGCTTCCATACAGGCATCATACACTCTTTCAGAATATTTTATTTTACCTAAAGAAAATTTTAAAAAAAACTTTTAAAATCAATGTAATGCATGTAAGCTGTAAGTATAAGTGGGAAAAGAACAAAAAGTCTGAAAATAATCTACTCAAATCACGAAAAAAAGAGAATGAAACTATTTTTCACAAAAAGAAAACATTTAAATTATTAACATGCTGATTTAAGGTCTGTTTTATTATTTGTGCACATTTGACAATCCAACAAATTCATAAGCTTTAAATATAAATCATGATCATTCAACCATAATAAAGTAAAAACAAAATAATTTAAAAATATTAAGAAAAAATAGACATTTATCATAGTAATTTCTTTTAATATTCTCTTTTATTAATTTTCTTCTGAAGTTTAGAAAGTCGTTAATTCCATCAATAGTAAAAAGAATCTCATACCTGTATATAGGTTATAATGTGTCATTCTTTTCTTTTCTTTTTTTTTTAACAACGTTTTCAAAACTATTTTTCAGCAAAAAATAATGAACATATTCAGTTAGAGGGACAACTTGTAAATGGAAATAAGCATAAGATAAAAGCTAAGAGTAATGTCTTAGGGTTTAAGAAATGAAGCAAAAAGATATTGAATTCGCAATCTTAGCCCTATTTTTAGAAGGTCAGAAGTCAAAGACTGCAGGGAGTCAAAAGCCATTCAACTGCAATAATCATATCTGAATACTGTAAAAATGTACTTCCATAATATTTTTAAATGTATGCAGTTAAAAGATTCTTCTATTGTTAAAGATGTAATTTAAATAAATAATTAATACTTTGTATTAAATAATAAATATTACTTTGATATTATATTGATATTAAATGATTGCTAGACAAAAAATTGATACTGTATTATTTGTTTTGATACCTTTGATTTTTAAAACCAGCATTTTTCTAAAAAATCTGAAAATTCATGCAAATAAATATATTGCTTATGCAAATAAATATATTGCTTATGCAAATAAATATATTGCTTATTCAAATAAATATATCTCTTATAAAAAAAAATTTGCTTACTGGTATTTGAATTGGGCCCATTGCTTTTATAAAGAAACATTTAGGTGGAGGGAAAAATCAATCTAATTTATGTTATCTAGCTATGTTTAGTCAGAAAAATAATTATCTAAAAAAGAAGCATATTTTTTTAAGTTAGAAATTATTTGAAATTAAAATCTAAGAAAAAAAAAACACCTAGGGCAACCAAAAAAAAAAAAAAAATAGAAAGAACGTGGATTAAAGATAGTTTTGAGAAATTATATAAAATAGTTTCAAAATTTCTAAAGCACAGAGAAGTTTTAAAAAAAAATGGTTGCAGAATTTTAAGTTCTTGGAAGGTGAATTTAAATGAGAACTGAATTTGCATGCAATTTAATTTTTGTGCAAAATTAATTTAAGCAAGGCATATTAACTATATATATATATATATGTATGCATAAAAGACAACCATACATTTCCCAAATTCATAGACAATAAAAAAAAATTTACTATGAGATAGAAATGCTTTTCATATCCCAGCAAATATTCTAGTAGAGTTTTTTTTTTCTTCATTAATTTAGATTTAATTGCATTTTATATCATTGCCTGACATAAATACAGGAGGTGGCAAAGAACTTTCTAGATTTCATATCAAACTTTCATTTCGTACAATGAAAATGAATGGCTTCGTTGGCAACCTGAACTGATAAGTTTGATCATGATCTTAATTTTTAATGCTTCTTCCAACAAACGAGGTTCAGTAAAAATTCGTAACAAAATTATTTTCTACCAATTAGACTTTATTATGCCATTAATATTATGAATTAAGACTTACACTCTGTTTTGAAGGTGAAATACTCTGTTAAATGCCTACATTCGTGGTTACCACGGAGAAGAAATAATGTCGTAGGATAGCAGATCTTCAATGACCATAAGTAGAGCACACACTAATAAAAAGGATGTTGATAAGTTACAAAAGAACTCTTAAATATTTTTATTTTAAAATAAATTAAATTAATAACTCACTTCAATGCTGAAATACCCCCGATCAACATAGTCTCCAAGGAAAAGATATTTTGTTGAAGAAGGTGAACCCCCAACCTCGAAAAGCTTCATGAGGTCAAAGAACTGGCCATGAATATCACCACACACTGCAAATTTAAATAGAAATTATAAAATATTTTAGATATCAAACTCAATTCACAAATAGTACTTTCTATACAACAAAAAAAAAATAATACAAAAAAAAAAAACTTCCAATATCTTTTGATTTAGCAAACAAAAAAAAATGTAAAAAAAATAATACTTTCTAGATAGCTACTTCAGTTTCATTAAATAGGTCAAGTATGTTACTTTTTGTTCCTAAATTCTTCATAGCTAACAAAACAATTAGTGCTTTAGTCTTGGGTTTAGTCTCATTCATTACAAAAAAAGGAAGAAAAAAGACTACATTGGAAACAATTGTCTAAATAGCATTGTTTAATTTTCTCTCCTTTCCTCCACTCCCTAAAACCCAGTGCAACATTTTATCACTTACCAAAGGAGAAGAGAGCATACTAAGAGGAGAGCACTTAACAATTTGATGCATAGAAGAACTTTTTTTCCTATTAGATATCCTTGGATATCCAGTTCTTACTTTTTTTTAACTGCATTATAACCTAACTTTGAGTAACCAAGAAGGACTGAGAACCAAAAGTGAAAAATAAGCACTTAAAAGCTCTTATAAGGCACTATCAATTAACCTTTTGAATAAAACAAAACAAAATTGTTGCCATTGATATATCAATATTACTTGTCATTAGACAAGGTGCTAAGCCAAATTTTTCAACAAAAAAATACTTATTAATTTAATATATATATACATACATGTAACATAAAAAGCTTCTAATAATCTTTTTATGTTATCCTAATTAATTATTCTAATTGAATACTTTCTCACACTTTTAAAAGCCACATCCTGTTCTTAAATCTATTTTTGGCTCAAGTATGCATTTAATTAAAAGCACAACATTTTGCCCTTTGCTCTCTGCGGGAAACGCTCGATATATTTCTTAAACCAATAGCAACTACTAAGATTTCCCTCTTTCCCTAAATTGAAACATTTTACGGATTTACTTTGCAAGATTCTCCCTAACATATAACCGAGGAACACAACTTTTCGTACACACTTTCATGACTGCTCTGTCTAATAAATAATAAATAAATTTTGTACCCTCCTTCCCAGCCTAAGACCTGTTTTAATCCTTCCACTCGGTAACGACATTATATACATAGTTGTGTTACAATGTTGGATAAAATAATGGAAACATTTCTATACTAACACATTTTTTTATATTTCCCAAGAAATACTTAAAAAATCATTTTATAACTAAATACTTAAAGAATCATTTTATAAACGTTTAGGTTATGCGATTTCTCATACTTATCAATTAAATATACAGCTTTAAGATGTTTGAGGGACCAACAAAAAATTACTAATGGAAAATGTTTTTGATCACCCTATGGCAAAAAATGTAGCGATAAATTTGTAACAATTACTTTGGTTATTTTATGCAAAAGGTTTACAAAATTTAGTTAAACCTTGCTTAAATATTTATGAAAAATTTATAAAAAACAAACTTTTTTGTCTTATGCTTTTTTTGCTATAAGTTTACAAAAAATTCTATAAAATTAAAATATTTTCAGCAATTTAAAATGAATTTCAAAATATTAGTTTTTAAAATAGAGAAAAATTTGTTCTGAGAGTATTGATTTTCTGAGATTATTGATTTTCTTATTTTAATCGTTTGTACATTACATCAAATCGTTTAATTTAAAGTTTTTATGAATGACAAATCTAAATAACATAAGATTTTTTTTCTGTACTTGCTATATGTTAAAATAGTGAAAAGTCCCTCACGTTATATGTTTATTAAAATCTTGCATTTAAATAATAAAGTGTTTTCATAAAAGAACTCTTAATTACACACTGAAAATTTTTCTGTTGTTACTAATTTCCCTTGCCAATACCAGCCAGCCTGCTTGAAATCAAGGGAATTTTTAAGGCACAGGGTGCGTTTCGTGTTTTTTCCGTGGCGCCATCTAGGTCCAAAAACACGACTTCTGCTACACAAATATCACAGCCCCTTTTACAGGGAGGACCCAATAATATTCCATCCTTTCATCCCCGCCCAGATCGTAATTTTAAACTGAACCAGAGAACGATCAATCCCCAATTCAGTACTTCCAGAGGTATTGATTTGTTATAGAAACTTGGAGGACTTTGTGATCCTGACAGACTAAACATGCCCAGTCACTATTTAATACAAGGATTTCTTCCGGTCGGCGGGGTCCGAATTCAGGTTTACACAAACAAGAGTCCAACATCCTACCAACCAAGTTATCCCGGGTGAAAATTTTAAAAGTAATAATACAATAATAAAAGTAATTAAGAACAATAAAGAGTTTAAAAAACTTTATGCAAATAGTGGACAGTCTCTCGGATAAAAAAAAAAAAACCTACGATTAAAAATCTCAATTCTTTATAGATTTAATTAAACGAATCAAAGAAAAATGGAAATTTTGAGGTGATGAAGCTTTGTGATTGTTGATCGCTCTGAATCCCCATGAAAATACGTAATTAGTGAATAATTCCCATATCAAGTTCAAGGATTATGGTACTGATCTATAAATAGTACAGCGAGAGAAAGTCATAGGCTTGCCAGTGACGAAGACGATGGCGCTTCATCAGCGATGAAATTAACAAGAAAGATAAAATTTTATTTTACTATTAGGGAAAAAATTCGCAATGTTTGGTTGGTCCCCATGATCGGTAAAAAATCGCGAAATTTTTCGGTTCGATTTCAGAGGGCGGAAAATGAAGCCTGAAGCCAAGAATCTCTAGCAAATTGCAACAGGGTTGAGCACAGAGTGTAATGAATGCAGCTCAGTGCACGGACGATACGCCGAAATGGATTGTGGTTGAATGGAAAACCACTCTTTTTTGCGAATTCGTAACGAAACTCGATTTAGTAAAGAAAAACAAATCTCATTTTGGAAAAGGGAAATTTAAGCACAAAACCACCCATTGAAAAAAAAGCACTTTTATAAGTTTTTTTTTTTTTAATTAAAAAATAAGCAAATTTAAGCACTTTATAAACGGTACGCACCCAGTAAGATTAAGTATACAAATGTGAAACTTGAAGTAAAGTACGAGTAATTTAAAAAAGAAAAATTAATTATTAGGTATGCATGCAGTAGTATAATGGTGGGCAATGTTATCTTCAAATAAATGGTAATTTTTCACATTCTTCTTGAATTTTCAATGCATGTTTTTTTTAAAACAAAATCCTAATTCATTTACATAAAAGTTGCATAAATATTATTTAACTAATCTTTTAAATCGATCCCTTTTAAAAAAATAAATAAAGCGTATGTTATGTACGTAGTTTTTTATTTGGACCATTTGAATTTGCTATCACCCAAACAAAAATTAGGGGAATTTGGAAGCACAGCTTGCCAACTGATTACAGCCACAATCTACTAAATTATGGAACATGTAAAGTGTACGCTTGCCAAAACTGTTTTTGAATCTTAGACCATTGTTTAGAGCTCAATTGTGACTCAAAGGCGCTCAGATTATGAGAAAGATTAAATTTTATTGGATTAATGTCACTTCTTACGTATTAATAATTTAAAACTAGTAGCTTAAAAAAAAAAGCAATCTAGCCCGAATTGTGCTAGATTATTAACCAAATAAAAAGTATGCACTAATTTTTAACACTTAACATTTTGAAAGAAGTTTCAGGAAATAAGTTTACGTAGACCTAAGATCAAAAATTTTCTGAAAACATAAAAACTGATAAATAAAATTTTCATTTTCCAGAAAGTAAGAAACAACATAAAACTGTTGTTATAGACTTATTTTTTTTCCTAAGATAAATGAAGGAAAAAAAACTCGTAATTCTAAAAATTAGAAATAAAAAACATGTATAAAAAAAAGGGGTATGTCTAACATTGATATTTCAATAATCCATTTTGTTTTGTTAAATAAAAACAATTCCAATCATCAAAAACTATTTACTTATTAAATTGACTTGATTCAAAGAAAAAAACAGTAATCAAAGCATAAACGGTTTTTTAATGCACGAGGACCCATTTTCATTAATCATGACTTGCTGCATTCTAGGCTGTAACTTAAAAGCATTAGCATTCCCTACACCACACCCATGCAATGGACACACCCAACAGTTTCTACTAAACATTTACAAGCATAGCATAATACAGAAAGTATAAAGAAAAACAGTTAAGAAAGTAAATGAATCCCCAAACGAGGGTAAAAGACTCAGCAGAAAATATTTTTAAAAAAATGGAAAGCAAACTTATTTAAAATTACAAATACACATAAGTAGTAGTTTTAATACGCATATTAACGATGGCAATTATTTTGGTCCGAATTCAAAATCAGATCATTTAAGATATAGAAAATATAACTATACTAAGTGGATTTGCAAACTTTAGGATCAATCGATATTATATACATTTTTTTTTCAATATTCTTTATATATATATTATGAATCATTATACACTCAAGAACATTATTATTTAAAAAAATTAAGTAAAAATAATTTAATTTCAATATTATAAATTGTTTTCTGATTATTATTATTTTTATTAAAATATCACAAATATTCTTATTACACATTTTTAGAATTTATTATTTTATTTATGAATTCTATTTATAATTATTTTATTACAATAAATTAATATAAATTAATTTACTATATAATCATTAATTTCTCAAACAAGTAATTTGTTAAGAAATTATAAATTAAATAGTGTAACAAAAAAAAAATAGTAAATAAATAAATGATAACATTAAAAACTTGACAAGATAATGCTAAGAATGCTGTTTTAAGAATAGTGTTGAATGAAAGTGAGTAAGATGAGTAACAACAATACTAGCAGAAGAGAGAGAGAAAGAGGAAAAGTAGCTAAAGATAGAAGATTGTGAAGGTGATTTTTTTCATTTGCTAAGATCAGAAAGCAAGTTTTTCGAATGAGTGGGACTGCACCAATAAAAAAATAAGAAATGTTTTGGAACGACATCATGGAAAATATTTCCAAAAATAAACAGGCATTCAAATAAAACGAGAATTCGAAAAATACCTCT